CGGGCAGTAACACCATCGCAAGTTATGACTACCTATTATGAATTTGACCTTACATAGAAACTATTTTCGTCGCAGTGATCGATGCAACATATCGATATAGTTGCAGTCGGTCAACTATCGCTCATTAGATCTAGATCTTTTGTAGAGCCATTTCAGACAATTTTCCAAATTAAAGCCTGTAACGATATAACCAACCGTCACCGTCACAAACCAAACAGACTTTCAACAATAGTAAAAGTAACTTGCATTGCTGGAAGTTTTCTCAATAATAACACAAAAGTGAAAATAACAATAGAGTTGTTCACTTTTTGAAAAGCGTCGGGCACAATGATATTTAGTGATGGCGCGTTAAAGTGTGATCAGATACAAATCAAACACCATTATTGTCAGGAATGAAAGTTATCTTTCACCTCCTTCTAATCGTGACGGTCTCATCATGTTCTCATAAACTCACAAATCACAGGTTGACGCAACTTTTTTGCATGATCAAGCATAACTGGTAAATTTATCGAAATCATTTCTTACCACTCTTACTTTCCTGCTACCGTTTATGGTAGAATAAATTAGTGCCTATTTTCGTTTCTGGCAACTCGAACTGCTTCGATGTCACTTTCGTTACGATGGTAGAGTGGTTTAAGTAAATCATTATTATTTAACTCTAGTTTATTCTAAGATACTTGCCTCTTTGCTTTAAGTACATGGTTTTATTTACTAATATGTTACGTTTAATAACTTCCTGTGTTCAAGCATGTGTCATATAGTTAATATTTTATTTCAATTCAATTTTATGATTATTTCGCTACGTTTTCAAGTTAAATAAATAACAAAAGAAATGATGTATAGGCCTTTATCGAAACTAATGAATGTTAAGTTGTCTAGATTCTTGTTGATAATAAATTAAATATTAATCATCGAATGGAAGTTCCTATATTACACAGTATTAAGTAAGTAATTGATGTAAGAAATTATTTCGTATAAACGCGTTTTTTATTCTTGATGAACCTAAGCACTTGTATTAGATAACTATCATCTATTCGTATGACAATAAATTATTAGGAACAATAACAACTATTATTTATAATTACCTACATGGTAGTTGTAATTAATGATGAACTTATTGTTATTTCTGTACGATTTTACGTATAGTTCTTGGTATGAGTAGTGTCTTTGAATGAGTTGGATGTAGTAATTTCGTTTAAAACAGTTCATTTAGTTTAGTTTTTGTTTCGGTTGCTTCTATGCATATTATCGAATGCACAAAATGTTTTGAAGGCAAGTTTACTTAAGTTATTATAATTATTAAGTTTTTAGTTATTAAGTTTACTTTATTAATATGCGTTACAATCTTCACTCTGTGACAATGGCTCTACATTGTCTACAGACTCTGATCCTCTATGACTCTCTGAGACTGAACTCTGCTTCTATTTCGAGAAATCATGATCGTTTAGTTACATCTTTAAAAAAAATACATAAATAAAAACACAAAACTGATCATCTCTAGACAAAACAATACTCTAGCTAAGATCCTAGCAACTGTCTTTCTTTATTAGATCTCTTTCAATATAGACAGCATCGGGAAATGACAGTCTTTAAGGTAACAGACAAAAGTAGAAGTCCCGATGAAACTTCATCGAATTGAAATCGATTACAAACGGTTACATTGTATAAACGCATTATCTCACTGCAGTTCTAAGACTAAGGCTGGGTTGCACCATCTTACTTTAACTTTAATAAACGTTAATCTGTCAAACTCCATACATAAAACACCGGTTATCGTCAAAGTTACGGTCAAAGTTAGGTGGTGCAACTCAGCCTAAATTACGTTGTAACAAGTTGCACGATGCCCACAACTAAAAGCGGTTAGTGATTTACCAGTAAATTGATGGAAGCCTTCGTGCTCTGGTCATTTCTAGCCTATTCCATTCCTACACTCGATTTCGTCGGATAATTGTTAACATTAGTTACAATCGAAACAACCGCAATCCTCATGCTGGTACGGTTACCGGCCTTTTTTGCTATCGTTATTCGGACAATTGATCCCAAACAAGAAAGTGCTTTGGATAAATTTGGCTGTCTACCAATTGGGTCAACATACATAAAAACATAATGCATCCGTTATTTAGGAATTAAAATGTGTAATGAGATAAATTATTTTGGAATTATCTAAATTCTAATGCCATAAGTCTATTAGAGTCCAATGTTTACTTTTTAACTGCAACTTTTGTTTTATCCATCGGATTTCACATTCTCAGTATTTTTACTGTATTTTTTTAATTAACCTACTAATAAAACTAATCAAAAAGACGTAACTACATACATACAGTTTCAATTTGATTTCGAATAAATAATGATATTTTACAGTTGAATTTTAGTTCATCAGTTGTATGCTCGAGTAAATTAAATTAAATATTTATAAATATTTTTGCTGTAGAAATTATGAGCTAATAAAACTGAAAACTTGTGTTCAGCATGAATAGTTGGCTTTACGCGATAATTAATGTAAATATAATAAACTGTTCAAATACAAGAGCGTCTAAACTAAATTTTCCAAAGCGGAATGTTCCTGAATATGAATTATAAACGTACATTGTTAGGCGCCCTTCTTCCTTCCGTATAATTCCAGTTTCCGGAACCTTAAATAAGTTATGCACTGTAATAGGCCTGTTCCACATAACTTTCATTTACATTGTTCGATCGATAAAGTACTGTAATAACTAACCTCGGGACGAGTAATGTAATAGTTTTACTCTGGAATAATAACGCGGTATAAATTTTAAAGTTACTTAGAGATAAAGGTGTTTTTGTAGAGTTCAGTTAATTCTTAATGGGGGCAAACTTTAACCATTTTATCACATTTTTTATTTGTCGCCAAACGTAGAGACTAAGGTCATAAATCATGCTGCCTATTTCTTCATTGTCGCTGCTCGTACGTAATTATTACGGAAAATATGGAGTACTTTATCTCTCTACTCATTTTGATATTAGTATAAATAAAGGACAACATATTATTATTGTTTTTAGACAATAAGCCGTCGAAATAGAGCGCAGATTTTCATAGAAAAGTGAAAACTTATTTACAAATTGAATGTTGCTCTTATAGTAAAAGTCTAATAACTGATAGCATAATTAATCTTGATCGCATTCCTAATTCCTGAAATCAAGATGGTGACCCTACGATCACATAATTAGCAACAATTTAGCTATCAGCAACGCTGTGTAAAGATGTGATTGATCGCCAAATAAACTGCTCAAAATATAATTTCGGCTATTTTCACTTGATCCAGCAACATGACACTTATCATTCGCATGATGAACGAGCGGCGTAGGCCAAGCGGACATCCTCATATAAGCGAAGACAACGTTATAGCAAGGAATGTCATAGCAATTTGCAACTATGACCTAATACACAAGTAGTCTAAACTAGATGCAACACTAAACGGCTCCGCTTTAATTTTCAGTAAACAGCTCAGTCGTTTTAGAATATTGTTTATGGAATAAACTTTTACCCGCGACTTTGTCTGCGTAGATTACGATTATGTGCATTGTGCAAGCCTCATTAGTACTTTATCAACAGACTTTAATAGGTAGTTTTTATTTTTAAGATGTAATTAATAAACATAGAATTCCATCCTTAACTACGACAAGTAGGTACTGGGTAACTAGTTACATGGGTAGTACTAGTTATTTGAAGTGATCAAGAAAATATTAGATAGGTAGGTACTTTATGCCCAGCCTTCCGCATACTTCGCATAAATTCCTACACGGCAGTTAGGCTGTAATATGGTCAAACTATACCAGACTTTATAACAGTACAAATTACGCCGTAAAGTTACAAGTTTCTAATTTATTATTCAGGAGGATCTACCCTAGCCTTTATCCCTAGCGGTTTAATATAGTTAATTCAGTACCTTGTTGGATAACCAAGGTCGACATGTGGCTGAGCAAGAATGTTGCAGGTTTTAAAAATCCAGCGTAAAATACAAAAATAGCACAAACCTCAAACTCGCAGTAACTACAAGGGATATAAGTTTCGCGTTCAACATGATTAATATCAAGCAATTTTGCCTGCCATTTGCAAATTGTCGTGAGGGTACAGTCCCTTGGCATGCAAATTCTTCGTAAATGTTTGCGTTCGTAGATGAGACGTCGTTAGGCTTATCAGTAACATAAAAGAAAGGAACATTTGCATGTCAGACCGACGCATAAAATAAAAAGGACACGCACGGCTTTTGCTTTAACCGTTCCGTGAAATATTTTGTAAGTAGGTAAGCAATACCATGTTGTGCCTACTTCTATTGTAACTTTTTGTACTATAATGTAGCTATGATTTGTATCGGTATATCACGCAATCTTATAGTTATAGGCGCTGGTAGAGCAAACAGAAGGCCGTAATGTAGAGTCAGCTTAGGCCAGTTAATGATTTGAGGATTTTCTATCATGTTCATAATACTGAGGTCAAACATTATAATATGTAGTTTTTATCAAATCAAATCAAATCAAATCAAATCATTTATTTGTAAAACATAGGTAAATGTATAAATCAGGTGGTACATAATAATGGGTAGAGCTCTATGTTTGGCCTATGAGTGGCATACAAATTATAAGTCCCATATAAAGATACAAAAAAATTAATAGTTACATAACATAATAATTCAATGTCAATTTTTAGAATTTAAATTTAATGCTTACAAAACTTATTTTATTTTATTTAGTTACCGTAGACGTCAGACAAGGCTTTAACTTAGGTACTTACTCATCAAAGCACCATGGAATTTACATCAGGCAATTACTTTTTACCCGACTACGGCAAAGCAAAAGTCTTAATTGTCCGCTGGTTATAGGCTATATGGGCCTTTCCAAACATGAAAATTACTATGCAACTACATTAGCAACTTTGTTCAGTTCAGTATTCTGAAAATCTTGTTTTATACTTTTTCAGCGTCGTTTTTTGTCGTAGTTGGGTTTTAGTTTTATCTAAACCTTGATTATGTTTGTTACAGATACTCCATGCTGAAGGAAGCAAATCGCTATTGGGATCGAGCTGCAGATCAAATTTTGATTGCGGCGTGAGTCATGCGCTCTGTGAAAGAGGGATATGCACGTGCCAACCATACTATGCCAGGGTTGACAACTCGACCTGTCTAGAATGTAAGTACTGGCACTGATTATAAAAAATAATTCTAGGTCTAAGGGTTGGTGAGTCAGTAAATAAGGGTTTCTTTTTACCTAACTGTGCGACGCAAGAAAGGGTTTATGTATTTTTCGGTTCAAGTAAGTATGTTTATTGCGACGCTTTAGAGAAAAAGCAAGTCGATTTTGTTGATTTCTTACTGATCAGTCAATCATGATCAGTCTTGAAAAATAGAAACAAACTTTTAAGTTGTAAAATCGGTAGAGTCGAGAGAAGAAAGATCTTATGAATAGAGATTCGATCCATTGTCTGCTAGGGTCACTCGCCCAATGATCATTGACCATATCATCATCATCATCATCTTGACAATTTAATAGACAAGAAAGAATTCCTTAAGAAACACCCTTAGACAAGATTGCGAAGTGTTGTAAATGTGCGCACTCGTCTACCGACAAAAAGTTGAGTTATTCAGTTGTCCAGCGTGGGTAGTACGCAGTATAACGCCTTACATGACCATTAAGGACCCTGCAAGGGACCTGTCTGATCTAGCCCGCTCTTAAGCTGCTCGTAAACATGGTCGGATGGACCACAGATCTCTAAAATACATTTTGTTGTTAGGGTTCTGTTATACTCGTTTTGAATTAACAGTTGACACATCAGAATCCTTGTAAGATCACTCCTAATTTGTCTAATCTGCAATTTTCTCCAGAATTTCCTACTCAATAGCAGACTTGAGAGATAATAAAATAATGATTTGGTAGTCAAAACACAAGATTTTTTAAGGTTTATTATGTTAACTCATAATGTAGAGTTTAGAAATACCAAATTAAGTGTAAAGATTTCTCACCTACCAGATTACGCACCTGGAAAATAAAAATGTCTGAATTTGAAAATGCACGGAATCCTCTATCCGCAAGTGNTTTGCTTTAGCTGTTCCGTGAAATATTTTGTAAGTAAGCAATACCATGTTGTGCTTACTTCTATTGTAACTTTTTGTACTTCGTTGTAGCTATGATTGGAATCGGTATATCATGCAATCTTATAGATATAGGCGCTGGTAGAGCAAACATAACACCTTAATGTAGAGCCAGTCTTTGACTTTTGCATTTTAGCCAGATAATGATTTGGCGATCTTCTCTTCTATCGCCTTATAATTACTGAGGTCATTATAGTTACCGTAGACGTCAGATAAGGCTTTAACTTAGGTACTCATCAAAGCACCATGGAATTTACACCTAGTTTTTCAGGCAATTACTTTTATCTAAACTTTTTATTTTATTTTTTTTTTTTTTTTTATAATTTTTTTTTATTATACATTTATGCACTTTTTTATATTTGTTACAGATACTCCATGCTGAAGGAAGCAAATCGCTATTGGGATCGAGCTGCAGATCAAATTTTGACTGCGGCGTGAGTCATGCGCTCTGTGAAAGAGGGATATGCACGTGCCAACCATACTATGCCAGGGTTGACAACTCGACCTGTCTAGAATGTAAGTACTGGTACTGATTATAAAAACTAATTCTAGGTCTAAGGGTTGGTGAGTCAGTAAGTCAAGCCTTCCCTTTTTACCCGACTGCACGACGCAAGAAAGGGTTCAAGTATGTTTTGTTGTGACGCTTTAGAGAAAAAGCAAGTCGATTTTGTTGATTTCTTACTGATTAGTCATTAAAAATACAAACAAACTTAAGTTGCAAAATCGGTACCTTCTGGTACAGGTAGAATCGAGAGAAGAAAGATAGAATCTTATGAGTAGAGTTTATCATTTGTTTCTATAAATCGTCTGCTAGGGTCACTCTCCCAATGATCATTGACCATAGTCATAGTCATATCATCATCATCATCTTGACAATTTAATAGAAAAGAAAGAATTTCTTAAAGAAACACCCTTAGACAAGACTTCGCAATGAAGTGTTGTAAATGTGAGCACTCGTCTACCGACAAAAAGTTGAGTTATTCAGTTGTCCAGCGTGGGCAGTACGCAGTATAACGCCTTACATGACCATTAAGGACCCTGCAAGGGACCTGTCTGATCTAGCCCGCTCTTAAGCTGCTCGTAAACATGGTCGGATGGACCACAGATCTCTACAATACATTTTGTTGTTAGGGTTCTGTTATACTCGTTTTGAATTAACAGTTGACACATCTGAATCCTTATAAGATCACTCCTAATTCGTCTACATATCTGACCTTTAGTTAAAGGTAATTTTCTACAGAAATATTCAATAGTAGACTTGAGAGATATAAAATAATTATTTGGTAAACAAAACACAAGTTTTTTTAAGGTTTATTATGTTAACTCATAATGTAGAGTTTAGAAATACCGAATTAAGTCTAAGAAATCTTGCCTACTAGATTACACACCTGGAAAGTAAAATGGTCTGAATTTGAAAATGCACAGAATCCTCTATCCGCAAGTANCGCAAGTGCAACTTTTAGTCGGTTTTTTACACAATCAACAGCGATCTAATGTAATCGCCGCACTTCTGTCGCGGTTTCACTGCTAACCAGCAAGAGGTAACACTTAATGATATTTATGTGGTAAACTTGCGGTGCCCAACAAATTACTTTCACTGCAATGATCCTCTCTATCATCATCATAAGGCGCCCGAAATGATATCGTGTCGACAGTCGACACAATAATTTCTATTCCATTTACAATGATATCGTGACGACACAATCATTCTCTATTCCATTACAAATGTGAATGCAAAATCATCAATCAAAATGCTTCCCAGGACCCAACAATGACTTCGCAGTCAACACCTCTTAATTCAATTGTGCGCGCCGAAAGCCATCATTTTGGACGAAAACTGACTCACAACAGTAATGAACTTGAGTTCTTCTAATGACTTTCACTAGAAAACATTACGTTCACATAGTTATATTGAACTTGATTTAATAAATTGTAACTGAACATGATTCAACCTAAATTGTCCAGCTGTTGTGTTATTTCATAATTCGAAATCCAAGTTGATTACAGAAAGTGCATTTCAGACAAAATGTTCATGAGCATGACATTCGTATTGACAGTTAAAATTAAGTTAAGAAAATGCGCAGTGCTACAATATAAAGTCAAGCAAGACGCGATATCCATGATGTTATCGGCTACAAAACACTAAAGAACGATCGTATCTGAGAAAGTGATATCTGCAGAACCTATTTCGTGTCTAGACTCCGAATAATCGGATTGGGTCCGACTAGCGAAAGAGGTTGCAGAACGAATTGGACTCAACGGCGGTACGATACCATCACACTATCGGCGATCTTTTATTTTATCGCTGGTCCCACGCTTGTCTCACTTTCCGCGTCCGATGTAGGAGCGCGACCAAATCGAGCAAGTGGATCATGGGTGGATTACGGTTCTTTGGCCGATTGTTACGGAATGTTGAAATGTTCCCTTTTCGAAGGCGGCTCATTACAAGAATTAAAATAATGACCATTTTTGGTCATCTTCGAGTTAATTTAGGTCGTGTGGGCGCAATTAACGGAAAAGCGGAGTGCTTTCACTGTCAAACTAATTTTATCTACCCACATAATTAAAGCAAACCCACAAATATTCGTTTTATTTTGTGACATTACTAATGGTCAGTATTAAAGAAAAACTGAAAAGTAAATTCGGTATGAAAAAAAAAAAAGAATCTGTCCACTTTATGTGATTGAGTCTTAAATAATTAATTGTCATCAGTGATGTAATTAGCAAAGCATTTATTATATCTGAGATTTAACAATTTAGCAATGATAATGTTTTTTTACTGTCATAAGTGAAAACATAATTGGATCCGTTAAAAATGAAGAGTAAATGCAATAATTATTGAACATGAGGAACATGCCGAAAGGCATTAAGTCCGCCTTTTGTGCATACAAGTTTAAAATAAATAAACATGATGACATCTGCAAAGTGTATTTTAGGGTTGATAAGATCTCGTCTGCTACCTTTCTTTTCCTACGGTTGCTTCAACCTGTTCAAACTCGGAACATTACTACGAGTGCCTTAACCCGTTCATTGCGTGTGTCAAAATAGGAACCATGTTAGCGGATACAAGTAACACACTTCGAAGACCCGCGCGTCCAGTCTAACAGCATAGCCAACCAGGATCGGACTTTAAACTCGCTACCGCTAGCTGCCCCGTGGCAGAACTATCATAATTTATTACTTACACAGATAATTACGACGCGTACAAGACGTAAATCGCAATTTTCCACAAAATATGTAATTATTATCAGCAACTCTTTAAGTATGTCCACACTTTAGGACTTGCAGGAAACCTACGAGTAAAACTTGGCGACAATTAGGTAGACTATGTCAAAAGACGCGTGTTAATGTATTATTAAATGTCCTGGTTAATGTGTTATTATACATATTCATTTCATTAACGATTTTTGATCGACTTTATATTCTATCTAAAATAACGAATTGCATACTGGCATATATGGAATGACGGAAACCAGGCAGACTGTCATGTCGTCTTACTTCCTGAATTTATAAAACCATCACCATCCTGTTAATTAATATCATCATAAAGTACAACGTTATTAAAGTACCTGTAATCAATTTCACTAACGAAGTTATAAATAAAACATGTTCCTAGTTTGTTAGTATCTATTAAGTAATCAAATTATAGGCTAGGAGTCTGAGTGAAAACTCTTAACCCTTAATCACCATACTGAGTTAGAGGCTATTTGAAGTAACGTGAAAATTACGGACTTCCTATTTGGATATGGATAAAGCATTCATTTTTTTACAAAGATGTTTATGTATGGTCCGGATGCGTCTAAGCTAAGTCTGTAATTTGCCAGTAGATACAAATCTGTCATAGACCGCTGCTGAACTCTCGACTTTTACCATTGTTTGCTGGAAAAACGTCACATGCCGTACGACGTTCAAAGGTTAATAATGTTTTTGGAAAAAATCTAAAGATCGCTAACTAATCTGGTGTTAATAGCTTAGAGCTCAATGCTCAAAAGGCTTTTACTATTATGTGGTCTAAATAACATCAGCCTATAGAGCATTGAG